GGGAAGATAATATTGAGCTCTCAAAAAAAGGAGGTTTCAAGTCTGGTAAACTTCGTAAGACAGTCATTTATAAAATCATGTAAAGAACAACTAAAACTAATCCTCATGTTTTTCTCCATAGTTTTATTGCTAGGGGTCTTTCTTTTGGTTCATTCCTTAATTTATTAATTAATCTTCCTCTGCAAAGAAGAACCTTAGGCATGTAGGGGGAAAAAATCAAAGCTAAACAGGAGTGAAGCATATCAGCTTTTTATCCCTTCTCATAAGTTACAGTACTCTGCAAATTACCAGAGGTATTTGGTATTGAATATTTGTGTGTTTTCACATCTCTGCCTAATAGTGCAACTTCTTCAGAAGAAGTTAAAAGAAAGTGATGAAAGTGAGACAATACGAAAAGACTGGCATATGGTTAGGTAATGTAGTACCTTTATCAATGACCTCTTATATAAGTTGGTACTTCCGAAGTATCCTGTTCGACCTAAGTTATTAATTTATTCTTTTAGTAAAAAATAAGAGCTGGCAAGTTAGCATACTGCAAGAAAAAAATGACTTAGATCATCACTTCTATTTTTGCACCATTCTTCTGAACCCCCCCCCCCATAAGTTCCATAGCTTTTTTTTTAAAATAATAAAGGTGAGTAGTTGTAGCTTTGTTTACAAGTATACCATCCATTTGGAAAAAACATGGGAATGGTGGGGAAACTTCCTGGGGAACCAGAAGAAATACAGGAGAAAGAAGCCTCATCATGTCACATTTCAGAAGTATGAGTCGCTATGTCCACCTTGGCAGCTGATATTCTCAATTTTCCACAATTGTCCACCCATCCTGAAAAATGGTTTATGTCTGGGTTACAACTTCTCTTCTTATAATTAAAGGCAAAGCATTGGTTTTCCAATGTGATTTCTACTTTATTGAATCTCAGACTTTGATTAATTATAAGCTGGCTTCAAAAATTATACAAAAGTCAAACCAAATAAGTCACATTATTGCTTAATACAATATATGAATGAAGTTCTGCAATATACTCTTAAGTCAGGGATCGCCAACCTTTTGGATCTAGGGACCACCAAACCCATAAATCCCGTAGACCACTAATATGAATTTTGACTTGACGGTAGCTTGCTGACATTGGGAAAGTTGGTCCCATATTCCAGAGCTGCAGTAGTCATAGGACTGGTGCAGTGGCTCCTCCACTCGGGTGCACTGGCCTGCCATGGATTGGAGGAGCTGCTCCGGGATTAAAAAAAGGCCAGTCTTGTGACTACTGCAGCTCTGGAATATGGGACCAACTTTCCCACTAACATCAGCAAGCCATCCTGGGGTAGATTTCCCTCCCCCGCCATTTGGTCTTACCTTCCAGTTCCAACTTGCGTGGTTCTACTCAAGGTAAGATTTGCGCTCGGTGGAAGGGTGGGGGCCAGCAGGTGGACAGGCGCAGCCTTGTGTTCCCATGCAGCCTGGGTTAATTGTTTTGGGGGGAGTGCTTTGGGGGGGGCACATTTCTCTGCGGACCACCAAAATTTTCTCACGGACCACTAGTGGTCTCTGGTCCACCAGTTGGCGACCACTGCTTTAGATGCCAAGTGGACTGTTTAATTGTAACTTGGATGAATCGGTGGTTTAAAAGAAAAATCAATACCCAAGAATGTCTGGAAACATGTTGAAATACCTCACGCTGCTCCAGCGATTATTTTACATTTGGCAGCTGGCAAATTTCAAATCCTGTGATCTCCCCTTTCTACAAATCTTTCCTTTTGTAATTTGCTTGTCGCAGATTATGCAGTTTCCTCTCTTTACTTGCTACTATTGAATCTACATTAGGAAAGTCGGTTTCAGGCAAGAGAAGGAGAAAATAAATCTTAGTTCACAAATCAAAGTCAAAGTCAAACAAACCGCATATTATGCTTAGTATTGGATTTGAATAATCAAGTGTTTGTTCAGAATAGTGATAAAATAACATTTTAGGAACTCCGAACTGACTAGCTAACTAGACAATCTGTGATCATAGGTCATCATTCCAGAGATACTTTCATATCTAAATAGGGAAACAGAATGACCGTGGGTAAACAAAAAAATACCAGCAGCAGGAACAACTTCCAATTTCCTGCTGGCTTCCCCATAGATTTTCATTGTAGGAATCTGATGGGGAAGGAAAGTCAGTTGGAAATGATGATCACTGGCTGACTGGGAAAATGTGGCAGCATTGAAACAGGCACAGCTTTGCCAAATTTCAATCCCACTGGAGCCCTATTGTCCTATTTCTATTTGACTTTTCATTCACTAGAGGAGGCTTTGGACCTTCAAATATTATGGACCACTCCTTAATTCTAAGCAGAATAACAAAAACTTGTTTATGAGCAATACGTCTATCAACATCTATATCTATCCTTTCTTTGGCTTCCTTCCTTGAGCAGAAAAGATAAAAACAACAATTTTCCCTGAAAAGATTTTAGTGGAACTTTCCATAATTTTCAACTGACAGCTTTGTTCTAAAGCAGTGGTCACCAACCAGTGGGCTGGGGATCACTGGTGGTCCATTAGAAAACATTTGTGGTCCAGAGAAATGTCACCCCTAAAGCATCCCCCCAAAGCAATTAATCCAGGCTGCATGGGTACACAACGATGCGCTGCCCACATGGCCCGCAGGAACACAAGGCTTACGTCTCTTGCATTGCGAACAACATAAGGTAGTGAGGGGAGGGAGGAAAGGACAATGGTGGGGAACTTGCCCCACTCACCCCACATGCCTCGCCTGGCCACCGGGCTGCTTCTTTCAGCTTCTTCTGCTTTTGGCTGCACACAAGGAAAGCAGCAAAAGTCTTTCTTTCTCTCCCTCAAACTCCACCAGAAATGAGTCTTTGGGACCCTGCATAGCATCCTGCTCAAAGAGGCTGCACTGGCATGACAAGTCTCACAATGACTCATTTCTGGTGGAGTTTGGGGGAGAGAAAGACTTCTGCTTCTGCTGCTTTCCTTCCATGAAGCCAAAAGTCTCTCTTTCTCTCGCCCTGAGAACGGAGCTGGAGACAGTACCCTGCGTTCCCAAATAAAGAATGATCAATCGGTAGGAAAATGGGGTGGGGAATTTTTCTGCAGACTTTTTTTGGGATTTTTCCAGGGTCTGGTCTGCGGGATTTAAATTTATGAGTTTGGTGTTCCCTGAGGTCCAAAAGGTTGGCGACCCCTGTTCTAAAGGAACATAATGATTCGTGTCTTAAATATAAATTTCTCATAATTTGGGAAGAATTTGGCTGTTGGCACAACTCACCAAACTGCAAAGTAAGCATATTTTTAACCTGGAAAACTTAGCCATCATTGAATTCAATTCATGCAACATACCAATTAATATTTTGTTAAGATATTGCTTATTGAATAATTTCACACAAACTGGAATATAAAAATTACATATGTTATACTGTACATCACAGACTATGGCCACAGACCCCCAAGACCTAAGATTTAAATCATTTATTCACGCCCTCACGGACCGCATGTGATGACATCGCAGCCCCTCAGGGATCCACAGACAGGTTGAGAACCAGTGTTCTAATTATATATAATGCATTAAACAAGAAACAAGCAAATATTATTTTGAAGTAACTTGTAAATACAAAAACAAATTTAAATTTACAAATGGTATCAGCAAAAATAGGCCAAAAGCTGATGTCTGATCATACACAGTCCATGTTTATATAGCAGAATAGTATTTCTACATTGCATTATTCGCACCCTTAAATTCTGAAGGATTAGTAATATAAAAACAGCAATTTGATTTGCACTAGGGAATGTTAACATTGTCTAAAACTTAATAAAAAATCTAGCTTGTGATTAAGCACATTGTGCAATCCAACTGTTGTAATTAATTTATAGTTTAATGTGTTCATTAAATCAGTTCATTAAGTGCATTGGCTGTATAGTAAATTGCTTCTAAAAGAATTCATCTGAATACGTGTATAAATAGTATATACTGACAACAAATCCTTGTATAATTATGCCTTGCTTTAGTAAACAATATAAACTAACATCTCAGATGTCTCAAAACTGTTTTTTACACATGCACATAAATATAAGTATGTATTAGTGTGTAACATTGTAAGTTTAACTTCCTTAACTCCATTTTTCAATCAGTGTTTCTATTGATGCTTACGTTATGTTGATGTAAACTACCACTTAAATGAGAAGGGCCATATAGAAATGTTAACACTTCAAAAAAAAATCTTGCCCTAAGAAATCACCAAGAAATTATCTCCTGTATAAGATAAAATAATGTTGCCATTTTAGGATTCAATAGTCCTTGACTTAACAATGACAACCACGTTTCTGTTCATAAGCAAAACAGTTGTGAATTCTGCCCCATTTTATGTTTCTTGCCACTTGTTAAGTGAATCACTGCAGTTGTTAGTAAGTTGTTAGGAATCTAACTGGGGGGGGGGGCTGCCACAATCATATTAAAAGCAGTATTAAGTCACTTTTTTAGTGCTAATATAATTTCGAATGGTTTTAAGTTGAGAACTAGCTGTGCTCAAAACTAGACTCGTGTTGGAGGACATAGTTATTCAAACCTTTACATCACGTTTGCAACCTTAAATGGCAAGATTGACCCAGCAGACTAAGCAAAAGGGAAACAAACCCCATTAAGGGTTTAATCTGATGCTAATGGTGCGCACTCGTTCTGCTTCTCTTTTATATGGTCAGATCAACCTTGGTCGTTTCTGCCATGAAAATCAAGGATATTCAGACCTGGTTTTTATCTGAGATCAATCAAATGATATGCTTGGAGGCAACCCTTTTGGGGGTAAAAATGATGGGGAAATTCACTATTTCGAGAACTATTTCTCAGCGGATCCTTTAACTGCAAGCAGACAAGCAGGTACAAATATCACCCCTCCCTAAAGCTCGCTGTTCACGGAGTAAGCAGCGAAGCTATTTATAGAGCAATGGACGGTCACGTGATTTCGAATGACGTCACTAAATGTTGTTGTTAGTGTTTGGCGGTGGTAGCGGCGGGCGAGCAAAGCCAGCTGCAAAGATGGAGGAGAAGAGGAAAAGGAGGAGGTGGTTGTGGTTATGAAGGGTTGCCGCGGCAGGACAGCCGGTTATAGTTTTCTTGTTGGAGAGGGGAGGGAGGGTCAGGAAGAAATCGATCTAGGGTAGGCCGGGCCCAGTAATTGCAGCTTCCCATCCTGCACGCACATCTGCAAGGAAAGCAGCCGCAGCAGCAGGAACGCGCCATTTTTCCCCGATCTTCTTCCAGGTAAAGAAAGAGAGCGGGATGGCTGAAGCGTGTCGGCGGAAAGCTTGGGGTTGGTGCTGCCCATTGCGCGTGCTAGCTAGCTTGCTTGCTGTTGTTGCTGCTGCTGCTGCCGCCGCCGCCGCCGCCGCTGCTGCCGCCCCAGCCCGCCGGTGGCTTGAACGCTGGAGGTTCCGCAGCTGCTCGCCAAAGAAAGGATCTGAAACTGCAGAGCGGCACACGGCGGGAGGTGGGGGCAGGGAGGAGGTGGCGGGATCCGCGCCGGGCTGGGGTGGGGGGGTGTCTCCGGTGTGCCTAATTTTTGCCTAAAGACGTGGCTGTCCGAGCCAGGTGGAAAGAGGGTGGAAATGGAGAGGCTGAAACGCGCCCGTCGGAAAACTAACGGGCCGCTTGCGGGGCGATCATGTTGCCCAACGCGTAGAGTATACAGTCCAGGGTGGAGTTGGGGTGTTGCTTCACAAGGACACTCCGCCTTCCGCCCTGTCATTGAAGACGGTGGCTCGCTTCTCTTTGATGGGGCAGCCCAAAAGGGACCTTTCTCCCCCACTAGTGCCACTGATAAACTCCTGGACTACAACTTCCACCATTGGAAGAAGGATCTAGCGACGACCGACTGGGAATGTTGGGCTTTGTAATCTGACATATCAGTAGAATCCCAGGGTCGGAGAAGAGTAGGGAAAGCCTCGGATGTGGGGCTGCTCCTATAACAATGGAAGACTTCTCAAGGCTTTAGTGCCAGAAATGGGTGCGAGTTACAAGACAGACAAAAAGATTGGCTTTGAGCCTTTTTCAAAACACAGAAACTGTCCCTGTTACTTGCTGTGTTCAGTTCAGTAATACTCTTCTGAAGAGGTGGAGGCTTTTTTACTCTGATCTCTTCCCATCATTTTGTGTATTCTTCCACTAGCTCTTTCAGTGGTTTTTATTTCCATATTTCAACATTCTTAACTTGGTTCTGGAAATTCTTTTCCCTGTCTGTCTTGTGCAGCTTGTATGAGATTGCTAAAACAAACCATAAGCAATAAAAAAAAGACTTAAGCATCATAATTGTTCAAATCTTGTGGCAAACTTACTCTGAACCCCTTTCCATTCTTTGTTTGGGGTTTCCTTCTTCCTCCTTCCTTTTCTGACCTTTGAGACAGTAATAAGAACATATACTTTGAAGGTTGATTGTGCAAAGAATAATATTCCTGCTGATGCAGACATCACATCATATGTTTGTATCATAGAAAAATAAAATGAAGGTAAGAGAGGAAAATAAATTAGCGCAAAAGAACCTTTAATGTTCCCCTCCCCTTTTATTTGCATTTTTTGATTTTTTTTACTTCTTTGTATCTTGACAAAGCTTTTCTGTAATCTGGGAACTGTTCTTTCCTATAGCATGCCTTGGAATGTAAATTAATACGACTTAATGAATACCATGTTGATAAATTTGGGGAGTATTATTTTGCTGCAGGGCAAAAGCAAGAATTTTAAAACTAAGATATATTATGACATAAATTTTGATGACCTAACAATCTTTTGATTAGATACAATATCAAGTTAGTAGAAACAATATGGGACAAGGGGCAAAACCAAAAAAGGTAAAAGAACAAAATGTTTACAGTGTTAATTAGTAATGTTGAAACATGATTAGACCTAGAATGTGGTGCAAATAGCTTACTGTACATCTTTCCCACTTAGAATAGAATATTGCAACATTTTATTTGGGCAGTTCAACTGGCAATTACTTTATTTTGATGAAATTATGAATACTTTTCATTGGATAGATGCATACCAATTTATGATGGCTGCAGTTTTAAATTTGTAGACAAAAACCAAATGCATACTTCACAGAAAACTTGTCTTTCTTGAATAAGATATATCAGCTTCTTGTTCTCTCATGCTATGTTTAGAGGAAGTAGAAAAGACAGCAATACAAGAGTAATCAATTATATGGACTGCTGAGTTTGCAGGTCTTTATATTAGCTTTAAGAACATCTTTCTAGCCGTCTTAAGTAAAAGAAATCAAATATCCTTTCTCTGCCCATTTTCCTTGAAAATAACTTTAAATGGTTCTGAAGTATTAATATGCATAATTGCCTGTAAAAGCAGCCACAATGTCTCTAATTTTCCAAAAATAATATTTGTAAGCTTCATCACCTGATTTTTGAGATTCATGTGATTAAAAGTTCTGAAATCTTTTTGAGGTATTTTTGTTATAGCTATTTATCATCATGACTTGTTAGCACAATTGTTTCATATTCTTCTGTATTCCCACCACCTTAAAAGAATTAATTCCAGGGCAATGTGTGCACATGTATGGTTGCATGAAAGAGTTTATACAGGAAATAAGCAGAGTTTTAATTGCTAAGGCTGAACTTCTATTTGGGCTTCATTTCTTGGGAAGGGAAAACCAGAAAATTTATTTCCTTCCCTTTCAGGATCTTCATCACCGGTGGGAAGAATAATAAAAGCAACAGTAAATGGTACAATAGTTACACTGGTGTTTTTTTATTCAAAGTTTAACTATAGTTGTTCTTTTAACCCATTTCTCAGTTCTAGAGCAACTAATCAGAGCTACGCATTGCTGAACAGCATGATTTCACAATTGATGAAAGCAGAGGGGTTACTAAAATGAGCAATCCTCATAGTTAACCAAAAGTTGTCTTGTAGCTTCTGGATTCCAGAAAGTTCTCTGTTTGAAAAAGGTAACAAGAGAAGTAGCAGACCAAAAAATAAACCCGCAACAACACTAGACAACCTATGACCTGTTGGGCCAATCCTTTCAGAGATATTTACTTAAAGAGAAAAACAATGAATACAGGCAGACAAAAAAGCAGTGGAATACAAGCAGCTTCTGACTTCCTGCTGACTTCCCCATTGACATTGCTTGTTGGAAGCTGGTAGTGAACATTAGTAGTCATTTCTCCTCCTTAGCTGAACCATGAAACTACTTGCTACTTCTCTGGGGGATGTAAAGCAAGAGAGCCTTGACCACTCTCCATCCCAGGATATCTCCAATGAAAGGGTGGCTGAGGTGCAGCATAGGTCAGGAAAGGTGCATGGGTATGCACAAGAGGTGCTGCAAGGTTAGGAAAGGTCTGTGGAGCTGTGCAAGTGGCCAGTGCATGCAGGTGCAGAGGGGCTGGGAAGGGTTATGTGGGTGATTAAGTTTACACTTCCTGCTGGCTTATCCATTGACTTATGGGAAACTGGCAAGGAACATTTAATGACAGCCACATAACTAATTGATCACATCAACACAGTGGTGCTGAAGGACCATAGCTTTCCTAAATTTAATTCCCAAGAAGTAATAAGTCTCAGCATTCTGAAAGTTAGTCCCTTAAGGTATACTGGTTCAATAATTGTTGCCCTATGAGGCAATTGAAGGTTACAAACAGGCTACTAAACATGAGAGTTTTAATGGTATATAGATAGAATGGATAAATTCTTAACACACTTATATGGTCACCCACAAATGCCATTTGTCCTTCATACAGAGCTTCTTTTTGTCTCCTGTTTTATAACCTAAAAGTGTTGGACACTGATCTCACTTGTTTTCATCAATTTGTCACAGAATATTTTTAACAATTTACAGGACGTTTCGGGGACAAATATAATTGTTCTCTTGGCAGTTTTTGATTATAGAAGCTATGACCTGGCTCTTGGTACTTTTAAACATTAGTCATACTTTGATTTTCTCATAGTCTCTGGCTTATCATTGTTTTAATCCACCCTAGCATGATGTTACACTTCTATTTAGCTGTGCTTTCCAGTGGACTGTATGTACTTCATTAGTCTAAGTATTCATTCAGTAGGTAGTTACGGTTATTAGGCATCATGATCACTAGAATGGGTAATTTGCTAGTCAAGCTTGCAAATAGATTATAATTCTCTCAAAAATGGATTCAGTACAGTTTTGTTTTGGAATGGGCTGGCAGGCATTAGTTGCCTACAGAATACAATCGAGTATGTGGAAATTGCCTCAGAATACCTCTTGGAATCTGGTTTTGGTAGTTTTTTTATATCTACCTCATCAAGATATGAAGAAACTTCATCTAGGTGAACTGAATGATAAATCCTTGAGGTGGCGGATCTCTTTGCTCTTCTCTAGTAGGTGACTTACCTGATGGACCTGCCAAGAAGGTACCTTGATAGAGCACGCTTGAACTCTACTGCCCATAGAGAGTTAAATGGCATGTGTGTTATGTTTCTGATTGACATATGTAACTTGCCATGCTTTGGGTACCTCACAGGCATTTAAGAATATAACTTGTTGGACAGGAAATACCTGGTTCACAATGATGGCCTTTGCTGAATGACCATAGGTAAATCATTGTTACTTTAACCTCTACCATCCTCCACTGCCATGTGTAATGCAAAGAAAACAATGTTGACTGTTACAAAGCTGCTGAACAGGATTACCAGAAAATATGTTCTGGAATCGTGAACATATCACGTGTAAAGTTTTCAACTAGATGACCTCAGTTTTTTCCCTAACACCACTTAGAATTTCATCCCCAAATTTCTACTTTGACTCTTCTTCTTTCAGTTAGAAAAAAAGATGTGTTCCTTACAGCAGAGGTCACTGGAAGTTGTTTAGATACTATAAATCAAATTTCCCCCAATAAATACTAAAAATAGTGAAGTACAGTATTGCCATCTGTAGCCTTACTTTTTTTCCAAACATTCTTAGAAATGGGTAGGACAATTATGTTTAAATTTCTGTTGCTAAGCAACACAGTTGTTAAGTGAGTTTTGCATCATTTTTCAAACTTTCTTGTCATAGTTAAGTGAATCACCGCAGTTACATTAGTAACACAGTTGTTAAGTGGAACTGGCTTCTCCATTGACTCTTCTCAGAAGGTCGCAAAAGTTGATCACATGACCCTGGGAAGCTGCACAAGTACATGCCAGTTGCCAAGTGCCCAAATTTTATCACATGATAGTAAGGATGGTCATAAATGTAAAAACTGGTCTTAAGTTACTTTTTAAAATGCCATTGTAAATTCAACCAGTTACTAAATGAATGGTTGTATTTCGAGGATTACCTATATTAACATTTGTCTTAGACACACATACAAGTTTTTATTTTTTTGCTGTCTCAACTCTTCAGAGGGGAAAAAAGCCCCTCACCAGTCTATAATTTAATTTTTTTTCTGTAAGCAGATCAGGAGAATCCTTGTCTTACAACTATTTGTTTAAAGTTACAGTGGCACTAAAAAAAGTGACTTATTACCATTTTTCGCACTTATGACCATTACAGCATCCTTGTGGTCACGTGATCAAAATTCGGACCCTTGGCAACTGGCATGAATTTAGGATGGTTGTAGTACCCGGCATCAGGCGCTCAACTTTTGTGACCTTCTGACAAGGAAAATCAATGGGAAAGCCAGATTGACTTTAACAACAGTGTTACTAACTTAATGACTGTCGTGATTCACTTAACAACTATGGCACAAAAGGTCGTAAAATGGGGCAAAACTCCCTTAAACAACTGTCTTAGCAATAGAAATTTGGGTTTAATTGTGGTTCTAAGTTGAGGATTACCTATAGTTATAATTTGAATCTGAAGCCAGTGCCTGAATATGGCATTTGACACTTTCATTGAGACAACTCCATGCCTTTATGCATTAATGTTATATATTACAAACAAATTGAATACTTAACTGGAAAGTTAAGCCAAAGGCTTTGATTTTTCACTTTCCTTGCCACCAACAATGAAACTGCTGCTGTGCTGCCTGAGAGCCTGAAGGAAGATGATGACTTGATACAGTTGGGAATTGCACAGAAGAGCACGTAGTTTATTGTAAATAAGCTTAATAGCCAAAATCTTGAGTAATAACATTGGCATGCAGGAATTAAAGCTCTGTGGTTTAGCCTATCAGGGTAACAGTAGCCTTGATCGTGTCTGCTACACATGCTGTGCTATGGGTATCAGTTCATTCATAACTTGAGTTATTTATTGTATACTCCTTGTGTTTATGTATGAGTAAATAAAACAGTTTTATCAGTTGTTTTGTTTCTGTGGCACGTGTGGGTTTTTATGTGCAGGCAGTATCTAAAATAAACTTGGAAGATAAGAGTACAAATTCATACTGGGTTTTTTTCCCCTAGATATCTGCTCCCTATTGTGTTGTTCCCTCATGAAATGGGTAATTGTTTGCTGTGTATTTAATCCATTGAGTCTACAACCTATATATTAGTGACAGCCCGACCTAGGCTCACTGCCTTGAGCTGTCTCCTCTGCATTTGATAAAAACAGTTTTTCTCTTTTGCCTTAGATTCTCTGATTTTATCAAGGACTATTTTCAGCTGATCAGTGAATCCATGAGAGAAAATTCAAACTGAGGTAAAATAATCAGATATATAAACAACATCTGTAAAGAATGAAGAGACTTGTGGCTACTTAGCCAAATATGCTGTGATAGAAAGGTGCTGACTGGCAGTGTTGTGTTCATGTTGAAAGGAGCATGTGATAACATCATATCACTGTTTCTCTGCAAATGTGATGGTGAGCAAGATTAAATAAACTATTTTGAAATGGGTTCCTTCTGTATTATCTTGGTTAACTTCTTTTGCAGTACTGGTTGATCCTGGCTGGTTAGTCTTTTTCTGTTAGGCTAAGAAACAGAATATTAATGTTTCTTTTCCCTTTTTTTTCCCTCCAAGGGCTCCCAAGAAGGATTTCCTTTTCTCTTCAAGGGATGCTCTTACAGAATTGGCTAAACAGATTGTTCTGACTATCAATCCCCATCCGTAAGTGAAGGTGACCTACCATAGGTCCAGATCTGAAAACCAAAGCCTTCTCCTTCCTGATTTGTCATCAATCGGCCATTTACTAAGAAGGAAAACATGAGTTCCAATAATGAATCAGGTAAGTAAAAATCAGGCAAAAGGGACTGAAAAAGTGAGGCAGTTGGGTAGTTTTCTTGGGTTTTGTCAGGTTGAAACAAGGAGATGTATGGTTTGGGGCTGGTGAAGATGTGGCTATTTCAGATTCTGTTAAGGAAGGTCAGAGTTTCACTTGGGAATTTGCATCTCTTTATACCAAGGGTCTTCAAACTTGGCAAGTTTACGATTAATGGACTTCAACTCCCATAATTCCTGACCTGACTGGAGGAGGAATTCTGGGAGTTGAAGTCCACACGTCTTAAAGCTATCAAGACCCTTGCTTTATACTTTGCAGTAATTTAATTGATAATGTATTTCAAACTACCTGTAGTTGCTAAAGTTCAGCAAGGAGTAACTACTACAATCTCTCCTTCATTTGTTATAAGGGAGGTTGAAAGTTTCTATCTTTCCAGTGCTAAGCAAGCTGTTTACACACAGGCAGGCAGACAGACAGACAGACAGACAGACACAGACAGGCAGACAGACAAGCATTCTAGGAAAGAAATATACCAATTATGATTTTTTTCAGAATAATTCAAAACAATTTCTTGTGATTAAGTATGAATAATACATGTGTGTTAGAAATACATACATTAGTGGTGGATCAGTAATGAAGTTGATGCGGAAACAGCCTCAGTGATACCAGAATATAGGCAGTCCTTGACTTATGACTACAATTGGGATCAGACTTTCTGTTGCTAAACAAAACAGTTGTTAAGGACAGTAAGTCATGCCTGACTTTATGAGCATTTTTGTCATGTTGCTAAGCAAATCACTATAGTTAAGTGAATTACATTAAATGAATCTGGCTTCCCTCAATTATTTTGCTTGTCAGAAACCAGTTGTGAAGGTCACAAACAGCATGACCCCCCCCAACATGCTGCCGCCATTGTAAATTAATGCTGATTTCCACATGATTGTGGGAATGCTGTGATGGTTGTAAGCATTAGTACCCATTTTAAGTCACTTTTTTTTAGTGCAGTTTTAGTTTCAAATAGTAGATAAACTAATAGTTGTAAGTTGAGGACTACTTGTATGGTGAAGTGTAAAGAAAAGTGTGACTTGTCTGTCTGCTTGACTCCCACCACGTTGTATATCATCTATAGTAAAGAGAATAGCACTGCAGTTGCATTGCCTTGCATAAAACTCTTTGCTAATTTAGTGCCCCCAGAGATGCTGGGGTGACTCACAACTGTTTGGGAAGTTGTGGTCCTAATTTTGATTGAGACCATTTGGGGAAGGCTGTCCGACTTCTATGTACATTTCTCATTTCCTTATCGTGTTTCAATTTTAGACAAAACCATCCTTTCCTGTACACATTCTTAATAATTTTCTATCATTATATGTGGAAGAGAATTGAGTCTGATGATTTAGTGACTCTTTCAAGTTTACAACACTTGTGCATTTGAACACTTTTGGAAATTGTTGGGATGTGGAGTAAAGCCTCTTCTTCAGAATTGTGGGGATGGACAGATTGATATGGAATAAGTTGCTTTTATAGGCATTCCATCCTCAGATTGTTTATCTCTTACCAGCACTTTGAACTTAATCCGAAAAAAAAATAGTGATCAATCCTCTTGTGCTGTACAAATATGTACGGTACTTGCTCATTTGTACATCTGTCTTGATCTCATGTTCTGGGTTTTCCAACTGTGAAATTACATTTTTCTACTTTTATATTGATTTTGCCTTGTATGCAAACAATTTGAATATTTTCAGAGTGGATATATAAAATATTTGATTGACTTATAACTTGTTGAATCTTTCCCAAGAAGATTAAAGTTTCATTCCTTCGTTCAGTCATTCATTCAGTTCTCTAACTTTATTATTTTTATAAATAATTCAAGGTGGCAAATACACTTAATACTCCTTCTTCCTCCTATTTTTCCCATCACAGCAACTATGTGAAATGAGTTGGGCTAAAAAAGAATGACTGGGCCAAAGCTGACTTTTATGCCTAAGGTGGGCTTTGTACTCACAAAGTCTTCTGTTTTCTAGTCTAGTGCCGTAACCACTGAGATAGTCCATTCCTTCATACTTTCTTAGCTCAGTGTGCTCCCTTCCAGATAACCTCTGGAAGTGACAGAGGATAACTTCGTAGGACAGGCTAATGTTACCCAGCTTTTGATGGCTTTTCTAATTGGAGAACTCTGTAACAATACATAACAAAGCTTGCTATTTGCTTTTAGCTTCTAATTCTTTGTCAAACATGAATTGCAAGTAATGCCTGTTTGGGAAGAATAAGAAATACTTTTGGGCACAACTTGGAAAGAATTTTGTAGGGTGAAGAATCTACTTAAATTTCATAATTTTTCCCCGCAAGTAATTAATATAAATTTCCTGTAGAAAAAGAACAAAAAGGAAGAAGCGTTCTCTCAAAATTTGTATTCAAAAGAGAAGAAAATAGTGCTATTCCTAAAGAGTGTATTGTGTTCAAAATCCATTGTGTGAGAATAAAGGAATGCAACTTTGCTAATAAAATACTTTTCTTTAGTATTCTTTTTATGTTCATGCATAATTTTAAACATCCACAAGATTGTTTCCAAATTCATGAAGCAAGACCAAAAGGTGAGTTTAAATTGTGTTACAGAAGTTGCTGTGAGCATTATACCCTATTAAACATTAAAGAGAAATATTTGAAAAAACAAACAAACATAGCAATACATGTTGTATTTTGAAAAGAGCATAAAAGTAAAGATAGTCCAATGACATGGGCTGTGATTAGAGGGATATATCTGTCTCTTTGATGGAGTACCTGGTTTGAACACTGTATAACTGAAACAAGTCTTTTAAATTTCATTGAGTTTTAGGCAAACTTATCTTTCCAGTTGTTTTTGACTTCAAAATGTCAATGACTATGCTAGTTAGATTACTGAAATCAAACACATCTGAAGAAATTTGAGAAAGCTATTCTAGACTGAAACTGCTCATCTATTGTCAATCCCTTCAGAGATTTTTTTTTTAATTGGTAAAATTGCGGAACAGTTCTTGATCCTAGATCCTAAGTCTTAAAGTAGAGTGCATGATTAGAAAAGTCAATATGGCAGCCACAATGGTGTGATTTGCAATATACATAAAATATATATGTATATACCCACATATACATTAAAATAGGTGAAGCTTCAATTGCATCATCATAGTTGACATCTTGACTTCTTTGACCATACCCTGCTGTCACCTCTGATACAGACCAATATATTAAGCTTTCTTTTAAAAGATGGGATGCAGATATTTGTGCAGGGGACTCGACAGATAAACATAAGAAACGCAAGTCCCCTTGCTTGGCAAGGAAATGAAGAAAATGAATGAATTCTGGCTGATTACAGAATTACCCAGCTCCAAAGGACCTGTTTCATATAATTCAGGGTTAAGGGCTAGGGCTGAGAAAATTCTCTCTCTGGGGAGAAAGAATATGGAGTTATTTGGCAGGATATAAGCCAACATGGGTTAGTAGAAAAATAGGAATTGATAGAATGAAACTCAACAGCTTCCTGATAGCATCCATTCCTGGATAGGTTCAGCTAGGATATGGTAGAAGCGTTGCCCTTATACTAGAATTGGAAAAAATGCAGAATGAAGAACTGGTGGTGCTAAAATAGGGAAAGAGCTATTTGGGATCCCTGTGGAACATTTAAACTTTACAGTATAAAGAGAATTTCTGAAAGTTGCTTCTGATAGAAGCAAGTATAATTATGCATGTAATTGAATAATAATTATTATTATTTTTTATTTTAATCATGGGTTGAAATGTGTTAAAAAGCCTATTCTCTACCTGAAAACTCACTATTGGGCATAGAGTATGACTAATAGCTGAAGATAGCTTTAGTTTATTATTGCATTCCAAAATTCAGTTCAAAAGGTCCACATTTGGATCCTGTGATTTTTGAGCTAATAAGTCAAGGAGGTTAATGGTGGAATAGGAGCAGTTTCCCAAGGGTCTTTTACTTCCATTTCCACCCTTATTTCTTGGGAGGAGAGAGGGAGTGTAATGGCAAAAAATGACAATTGCTGCTGATTTTCAGCAGTTTGACCTTCATTGCTGGTAACCTGCGTTTGCCAATCCTTGTTTTTAATAACAGAACTTTTGCTGGAAACTATATAGAATGCTTTCTGGATTATTTCAGCCTTAGTCACAGATTGCTATGGGCTACAGACTGTTTTCAGCCCACTCGTGGATGCCCCTGTTAATTTTACTGTTGATACTCATATTAACTGCAGAAGACAATGTGATGTCCATGATCTGTATTATGCAAAGGTATTTTTTCAAAGAAACTCTTTACTTTTTATAATATTTTATGAAAATGTTTAATAGTAGAAAGATAATAAACTAATACAAAATTAGAAAATAGGTAAAATATAGAGAAAAAGGAAAAATAACATAAAAAAGAAAAAAAATAAAAGAAATGACTTCCCCCTTCAAGATACAATTTCAAAAAATTATTATTTTCTCTGATATTTAAACCCAGAACATCTTCTTCCCATATCTCATCTCTTTATCTGTAAAGAAATGATAAAACCTCATTATTCAGTCCTAATCAGCAAAAGTCCATTAAAAGTTACTAGTAATAATATATACAGTAGTTTAACTTCATCAACTTGATCAATTTCACATTCCTTTATTTTACTTTTAACACAGTAATATATTTCTCTCAAAATATAAAGAAGCCCTCTCCTTCTCAAATCTTACTTAGGATCTATAAACAAATCTTTAGAGATTCATTTCTTGTATCTAGTTAAAAAACATTAAAAGTTACCAGAAACAACAACGTATTAAGAATCTTCATGTTTAATTCCTTTTAAGCAACATCTATATCTGGTGGTGACACAGTGGTTAGAATGCAGTATTGCAGGCTAATTCAGCCACATCCAGGAGTTCGATCCTGATCAGTTCGAAGTTGACTATCCTTCCAGCCTTCCGAGATTGGTAAAATGAGGACCCAGATTGTTGGGGGCAACATGCTGACATTTGTAAACCATTCAGAG